AACCTTTCTAGTTAAGACTTAGATCGGTGAGTTGAGTGGTGACTCAGTGAGTTGGTCAGGATGTGACTCGGAGATCGTTGAACTCGACGAGTCGGCGGGGTGACTCGGCGAGTTGAGGTGTACTGTGAGAGTTTCTGAGTATAAGGATTCAACGAGTCAACAGGTTGACTCGACGAGTAGAGTCAGTCAAGAAGGTTGACTTTGACTAAGACTTGGACCTTGTCAAGAGTGGACTTAGTTTGCTTCTAGAGTTCAGTTTGGATGTAAGTGATATATATGTATTTTGATATTGGTAGCTCGGGGAGCTAGTGGAGCAGTAGTTCATAGAATTGTCGGACAACAGCCAGAGAGTTATCAACATAGTTCAACAGTGCAGGTGAGTTTTCCATCCAGTAGGAACGGGTCTACGGCCACAATGCCGACCCGTCTAGTTAGCAGTAGTTTCCGGACTTCAGTCTGATGCAGTAGTTCAATGTGCTTGATGTCATTGTGATTCACGCAAGTTTTGTGTTATGTGATCCGGACTCCAGTCCGAAGCAGTATGCAGTATATGTGTTTATACTAGTTGATATGTGTTTTTGCTATGCTATGTTCAGTCAGCTCCGGACTTTGGTCCGATGCAGGGGGCAAGGCCCCAGTTAGTCCGGGCTTCGGCCCGATGTAGTTAGCCGGACTTCGATCCGATGCAGGGGACAAGGCCCCAGTTAGTCCGAGCTTCGGCCCGATACAGTTTCCGGATTTGGGTCCAATGTAGGGGCAAGGCCCTAGTTAGTTCGGGCTTCGGCCCGATGCAGTGGGTAAGGCCCAGTATGTGCTTATATGTTATTGTTTGGTATGTGGTAGATTGGGGGAGCTCACTAAGCTTCGTGCTTACAGTTTTCAGTTTTGGTTTTAGGTACCCAGTTTTCAAAAGAGGAGCTCACTAAGCTTAGTGCACACACCATAGCTAGCCAGCCTGGGATGTTTCACTCTGATAGCAAGAATATGTTTCGAATTAATACTCTGAATTATGTTATGACTTATGATATGTTTTTTATAAATATGGTTTTAGCAATGTTTTAAAGGAAATTTTTGGAATGTATTTTTGGAACGTTACACCAATCCTTATTGTAAAATACTCCACAATTTATAGTCCTTTTTAAATATCTAGAGAATCTCTTAGAGACAACAAGATGTATTCATGCTGGACTTGTCATGTAGCAAATGATAAGACTTAAATCCTGAATTCATGACGAGTAGTTATGAGATACACTAGACTACATATCATTCATTTAAATTGAGTAGCAAACCCTGTTTTTCTACCTTTATCATAACCAATTTTCCGCCCTTGAACTATTAGACTACTAACATGGTTGTGTTCCTCCATACCGAGCCAACATAGAACCTCACATGCATACTTCTTTTGATATATAAAAATACCAACATATTTTTGCAATACCTCAATTGCTAGAAAAAATATTGTTTATGTTATATCAAACTCCTTTATCATGGAACATTGAACTCACACAACATTTCTAGACCCTTGCTATTGAACATTAAATCATCGACATAAATGTTAACAAATATAACATTACCTTTCATTTTGTTAATGAAGAGTTATCCTCACTTGGAAAATTTCGAAATTGTTTTTAATGAAATAAGCGTTAATCTGGTTAAACCAAGCTCTAGGTATTGGATTACTATCTAAAAGGCCTTTTCATATTTGTACTCCAACCATCACTTCCATTGTCGCATATTTTCTTGTATCCACCAGGCACCTGCATTTATTTCTCCTTTTAAAAATGATTTCATGAATTGATGATGTTTCTATCCCATTTGGGCAGCAAAAGCTATGATTATTATTGTTGTAGAGCATAAGTTTTCGAACAGATCCCTTATTTTACATATAACTCTTTTCACTCTGTCTAAACATAAAATAATATGTGTCAAATTTTTACTCGATGATATCTCATGTAAAAGAAAAGTCTCTAACACAATTTCACCTTAGGTATCAGCCAATTAAGAAGTACTTACTCATTCAAAGATATTTTTTATTGTAATGATTTCTACTTCACATATTAATAACTCAAAATCAAGAAACATTCAACCAAGAGTAACAAAGAGTATGTTGTACAACCTATGACCAACTTCCATGAATATAGGATTCATGAAAATCAGACTTCAGGTGAGGAAGTTATGACCAATTGAAGATAAGGAAAAAGTTTAGTGAAATGTAAAAGACTTGGAAAATTTTATAGGTTTGGGAAGAGTTCAAATTTATACTAGGTATCTACTTTGGCGCGAAAAATGGATGACTTCTCGATGTGTAAATTACAAGTATGATATGTCCTTGGAAAGACATTTTCATGTAGTAAACAATGAAAGAAAAATCAGACTGAAAATAATATGTATGAGGAAGTTACGAATATCCAGAGTTGGAATCAACATTAGTTGCACTAGCCAAGTAAACTGATTGAGTTGACCAACACGTTGGCCAACCACCACTCACTGCGCTTGCGTGTTAGAGGGCCACATGGGATGGAACTTTAACATATTATACCTACATCTCTCATCTACATTTTGATAGGAGGATTGTACAAAAACAAACTTGTTAAAAGTGTTTAAATGTTATCACTGTGACTGAATATCTTAGGTTACAACTTACTTGGAACATACGTAACATCTATATGGAAAATTAAAAATGGGAAACTACTTAGGAGGTTAGTTATCTATGTCTTTTGTTCACATCTAGATAACATTTTTGTATTATACAATTAATCATCGAACTTATCAGAAATATTCAACGATATTTATAATGAACAATGAGTTTTCTTTTTATTTTGATAAACCAATTATTATCAATTATGAGTTATCTGATAATAGTAAATAAAACTATTTATCATTTGCTTATTTTGATACTCAATTTTCTTTCATTCCAAATGTTTATAGAGATGAATACATTCAATAACTACAATGTGCTTTGTTGTGACGTATATCATATATTATTTATCATAATATGTAGTATTCGTGGTATTCATGTGTTTTACAAGTATAGCGATTTTATAATAAAAAGAGTATGAAGGCATATGAAATGTTGCATAAATTATGATCATCTTGCATTCATTTATACTCATATATAGGTGAAAAGAATACATACTCGTATATATGTAATTTCTTTTCTATAAACATATATAAATATAAATGTTGTCCTACACATGGTTTTATAATGGAAAAAGTGTTATGTTTAATATATTTGATGTTTTATATATGATTTTATGATGTCTAACTATTGTCTGACTTACTAAAATTTTCATCAAAATGTATTATTTTGATATATACCCACATGAGAAACATACATCATTGTAAGACCGAGAATGATATTAATCACACAAACATATATAAGATGTTATTAATTAGACTTGAAATAACTTAGGGATTTATTAGATAAATAAGTGTCATGATATCCATTGTTTTTTTGAAAGAACATCATGATATCAATTATGATTATTCATCATATTACTTTTAAAAAATGTTTTATTTAGTTTGAAGGTTTTTATGGTTTCCGGTACTTTTACTTTTAATTAAAAATGTTTTTAGTCTTTAAAGGATTTTTAAATGTTATTTCCTAACCATATTTTCATAGTAAATTTCATAGTCATATTTTCATAGCAAATTTCATAGCCATATTTTTATATGTATTTATCTGTGGAAAATATTGTAACCGTAATCACATGGTCATTTTTCCATCGTAAATTTCATAACTCTGTTTCCTTAGAAAAATTCATAACTATTTTTCTGTAACAAATTCTGCAGTTATCTGTCCCATAGCAAATTCGTAGATATTTATTCTTTTGGGAGATTCAACAAAATCAAACTTCTTTGTAATAATGTATAAAAGTAGTAAAAATAAATTTAAAAGTAACATCAAACTTTAGAAGATATATTACAAAGTTAATTCCGTTTTAATTTGCCACCAAGATATCACATATACGTAAAGTAAGTTGTATCCTTAGATAAACGGCTAGAATTGTAACATTTGAACATATAATAAGTTCATTGATCAATAATGTAATATTTTTTTGCCTAAATATGAATAAAATATAAGTCATTTTCACTTTATGAAAAATAAGTTGAAAATGACCAAAGAAAAAAAAACAAAAACGAGCTAATAAATTAACATAAAATTAAAAATAATAAACCTATTTTATATAAAAAAAAAATTATAATAAAAAATTATAATAAGGATTATCGTAGCACAATCTAATCAGAAAACATCAATCTGCCATAAGTTTAACATAGAAGATTGATCGCATACAGAGCCGGTCCAGACGGTAGGCAACCCGGACGACTGCCCAGAGCTCACGTCTCCAGCGGGTCCAAAATTTATGGGTTATTTAGTTTATATTATTAAAAAAATTATTACCTAAATGATTTTTAGGACGTAAAGTTGGTTCAAACTCAAATTAGTTCAAAAGATAAACAATTTGATTTGCTTTTTATTGATAATTTAACACGTGTATACCGAATAATAAATGATATTTTTTTACTGTATATTTTATTTGTCTTTGAGTGATATTTTTTTCTTTTCGCCCTAAGCCTCACATACGTTTGGACCGGTCCTGATCGCATAACACTAACAATATCTTAAATTGTCGGTGTATGCACAATGCCCCCTAAAGATGGTTCGCCCCTTATTTATGGGTATTGATTATTTATTAGAACTTAAGACCTCGTATCTTATAGGTAGCCATTCATATTCATTTTAAAAGGTGAGTTACCAAGTGATTTTAATATTAAATGTATAATTTTAGATTTTGGTTTGGTGGGTTTTCTTTTTGTTTTCTTTACAACAAAATCAAATATAACCTAAGATTTCGGTTTATAAAATCTCAAAAATGAGACAATCATTTTTTTCAAAACAACTCAATTCTTCGGTTTTTTCCAATTTTTGGTTTGCTTTTTGGTTCTTTTGGGACACTCCTATAATGAATTAAAAGAAGTTGTTGGTTTCATGGTTGAATCCTCATTTATAAATCAACCACCCCTTGTGGCTTTGGGTCCCTGTTTTATTTATTACGATCATATTCCTTTCCTTATAAATATTTGTACACCCTTATTATCCATCTATTAAAACTTATATCTCAAAATACATTGGCTTTTTATTGTTACATCTTGGGTTTTGATTTAGACATGGCTATGAAGATGCAAGCTCAAATGCTCTTGTTTGCATTGGCTCTATCCATGGTTGAGTTCTCGATATGCCATCTTTTGAAAGACTCAGTGAGGTGTCTCGACTGTCTTGATGATTCTAACCTTGCAGGTCTGGTTTCATAACTTAAAAATTCTTCGTATGATTTGTATTTTTTTAGTTGTACATGGTTTTGTTTTAGAATCACATGCTACATTCAACTTTTTAAAAGAAAATTTGGGTAATTATTATATATTTATCTGCGTTTCTAATGTATATAACACCCCTATCATCATAACAAATCTCATAATTAAGAAAAAGACAAAAAAAAAAAAAAGCAGGAATTTTATGAATCAATAATTATGTGGTTCCTTTGTTAATTAAATTATTCGATCCCGACATGTAACACAAATGGTGTACTATATGGAATAATAGAACACGACAGGTTTTATAGTTCATATCTTATGTCACATCTCGTCTTTTATAACCATCTTGTTTTATGATAAATTTAATCAATAACATTTTAGAATATGAATAATTTTCCTATTGGTTAGTGTTTGTTCAAAGTACAAGCCACAACATACATCGAAGACAAGTTTTTATGTATAAAGTACAAGCCAATAAAGAACAACACTTCTCACTAGTCACAATCTCCTCTTTTTCTTCTTTTCACTTGCTCATTTAGGCATAAAGATACTAGTGAAGTGCAACCAAATGGATAACGTGGTCATGGTTACAACCAATGATCATGGTGCCTTTGAGACCCAACTACCTTCAAACAACTGTCAAGCCAAGATCTTGGGTGGACCTAAACAACTCTACGTGTCAAGAAAGACCATGGTCACTAACATCATGAAGGTCGATGAAACCGACTCCTACACTACATCTCAACCATTGAGCTTCTACACATCATGTCCTTTGTCACAAAACCATGAAGGGAAATGTGGGACCCAGAATGATGCATCCAAGACCGTTGATTTGCCTTTGCCACGAGAATGGGGGTTGGCGCCGTCGAGCTATTATATTCCCTTCATGCCTATCATTGGCATTCCGTGATTGTTTCTTGACTTTATGTTCTTGGGGTTTAATAGTAACTTGTTATCTAAGGTTATGTCGTGTGTGAAGTGACTTATATATGTTAAGTTGCTTATATATATGTTTAAGATGTATAATATGTTTAGTATCTTTGTTTTTTGGATTTTATAATGGTATCCAAAGGCTATGTCTCCACGTCTCTTGTTTGTTATATATTTAATGTTGTGACTTGTGAGGTTAATTACCGTAATTAAACTAACAACTTTTCTGTGGTCGTACCATTTTTTGTCCGGATTCGTGTTAGAACATGAAAATTTTATATATATTCTCATGTATCATTAATTGTAATTCACGAAATATGTAACAAATATGGGGCTCAAAATGATGCAGTTGCACCGACTAGCTATTATATGTTTCGTTCATATTGGCATCCCGTGATTTGTTCTTGCTTCTATCAAAACTATATATCATTGTAATTCACGCAAAATGGTAATAGAATCTTGATCATAATAATCGTGAATACATAAAAATGATAGCAACTTAAACATTTTGTCTCATTGAAGTAAGATATTGTTAAGGGATAGATGGCAATATATACAACTTGGTATTCATGAGTCACGATGGATCAACGACTTGTAGTCCATGAAGTTAGTGAATAAAATAACTTTCGGTTCATTGAATACAAATGGTTGCAACGAACTATGGCATAGTTAATAAGATACGCGACCACATATGAACTCCAAATTTTATTTTTGGCATGCTAGGGATACTCTTTTGATGTCTTTTTAAGTTTAGTCGAATTTGGCGTTACACAAAGTGTTTTTGGATTATAACTTAAAAGATCAACACAAATTAAAACTTATCTTAGCTGCAGTTTGATTTTTGTTGGCAAATTTTTTTAAAATTTTTGTAAACTGATTTTTTTTTTTGAAGATTTCAGACCTAAAAAGATCTGCTTGTCCTCTTCTTTCTGTAGTTGATCAGAGTCTTCAAACATCTTATGACATCTTCTAACCGATATATATATATATATATATATATATATATATATATATATATATATATATATATATAGTGTTTTTTGTTTTTGTTTTTTTTTTGTCTGCAAATTTTTTTAACATTTTCTGTTTGCATCGTGCATACATTAGACTTTGTAAACTGTTTTTTTTTTTTTAATTTTTTTTTAAGATTTCAGACCTAAAAAGAACTGTTTGTCCTCTTCTTGGTGCAGATGTTGATCAAAATCTTCAAAATCTTATGACATCTTCTAGCCTATATATATATATATATATATATATATATATATATATATATATATATATATATATATATGTTTTTTGTTTTTGTTTTTTTTTCTTTTAACTTAGATACATTCCAACTTTATCTATGATAAATAATTTGGAAAAAAAGTTACAATACTTAAAGAAAAAAGGTTCGACCATATATACAATCACAATTTATGTGACAAATTTATAAATAAAAATTTAATTATAATAATGGACATTAAAGCTGTTTTTATAGATATGAAAAAAAATCGTAATATTGTCTTATATTTTTTTGTGTCAAATTTTATAAAACATTATTTAATGCAATATCATTCATTTATTAAGATAAATATTTATGGCCAGTTTTTAATTGATTTAATTGAAAAGGTAAAATAAAAAATTTGAAAAATTATTTAAAATCAAAGTTTCTTTCCACCCATTTACGTGTTAAATTATTATATCCTTAATTACAATGTTTATGTATATCTTTGTGACTAAAGTTTGTTGGTTTTTATCAAATATATACGTTAATTCGTATTTTATTTTCATCTTTTATACAATGATACATAAAAATCAATCTATATTTGTTAACTATCTATAATAAAGTCATAAAATTATTGAAAAACTCTTTTAAGTTAAAAAAAATCGGTTTAATTAGATTTTTAGTTTATTCTAGCAACCTGCAGATGTTAAAAAACAAACAACACCTTAGTGTGTTTATCATAGTCACATCCATGGTATGTCTATTTTTGTATAACACGTTAGTTTCCTTGTAGTCAGTCTTAGGAGCTCTTGGTTCACATAATGTTTTTTAGAAAGAATAGAATTTGTTAAATGAACTAGACTACATATGAGGGAATTAGAATCTACTGTGTGTTTGGTTGACATCAAATAAAATTTGTTTTATGTTTGGTTTGTAGGTTTGTCAAAAGAATGTTGTTTTCTGTTTGGTTTGTAGGTTTGTCAATCCACACAATGTTTTAATCAATCCATTGAAAATTTAATGCCTGGACACTTATACCCATCAACCCATTTTTACTTTTATTATAATATTGAAGAGAGAAAATAATTAGTTTCAAAAAAAGCTATGATTTCTTGTTGCATCTCCGACTCAAAACGATTCAATAATTTCCTTTGAAAATTCTTCAACTGTTGCATCTTCATCGATTCAAACAGTAAGCGAACTAGGTGAGAAAGAAGTACTCATGTTTGAATACGATAATGCAATATAACTGAAACGAAATATAGATAGAGACGAGCATAAATAATGAGTTGAATTTGGTGTAAAAACACAATATTAACCATGTAAGGATTCAAAGGTGCATTAAAAATTTGACTCTTGGATTTCATAATCATATTATTTTCAGATATGACCATAATTGTTTGAAACTTATTTGAATTCAGGTTTCGTCTTGGCGAAAGACCACCACCAGTGCTTTTGGTTTCTTGTTTCGATTTAGTAACCAACACCAATGATTTTACTGTTTCTTTTTTCCAGAACTCCTCAAAGATCGAAATACATATGATTGTAGGTGTGTATGTGTGCACCATTAGGTCGTCCGGTATACCCAAGACGAAGGCCTCCGTGGTCTAGTTGGCCACGAACCATGATCGTGAACACCATCCCAATGTCTCGTCGTGGATTGTGATTGTGGTGGTTCATGGTTGGGAGAACGGAGGACCATGACCGATACCTCTGTCTCCCAGCCTTCTTTTTCTCCCTCCCCTATCTCTCCATCGTGGTCGTCACCAGTACACCGACATCGGTTCGTGTTTCATGATGGTCCTCGTGATTCCCTTATTCGTCGTATGTATAGTGGATGGTCTAATGTGTGGGTGTGTTCAATAGTGATTTATGTGTATGTTTGTGTGTGTTTGTGTGTTCATCGTGTGTTCTTTGGCTAAAGAGTAATAATTATTAGGCATGTAATGATATGGGTTCTTTGTCTGGGTGGTAATACAACACCTCTTGTTCACATTTTGAATCATATGAAAACTCAAAGAAGTCCTATGAAAAATTAAATGTGATGCTAATACTTAGAAATTACGGATCAAAGTAATTCAAAATTTATAAAAGCAATGAAAATAGAATACTATGACAGTTGACTTTAGCTGCAAAATAACATGTTGATTTGCATACCATGTACGAATTGAATAAGATCGCCATTAAATACACAAATCTACATCTTATGAAGATGAAAGTGGGTTAAGGTGTATAATTATCTATTCATCAATTTTTCAGTGGATTAAAAAAATTATCGTGGAATATCAACTCCCTTGTCAAAATAATTGGAAAGTAAATTATATAATATAACCAAATACCCTTTTGATGGGTTTTTACTATAACATATTATATTTTTTAATAAAAAAGATAAAACTTTTATTAATTAAACTTTACTCACTTAAACCTACGTGATATTTTTGGCATGGGCACGGGCGAGTGTGTAGGTGTAGGTGTATCGGTGAGGTGGATAGGATTTTGTGTTGGTGTCAGCTTGTTGCGTAGGCGTGTGTGTATAGGTGTGGGTTGGGGTAGGAGTACAAAGGTGGTGTGTGTGCGTTGTAAGCTCTCTGGGTCAGTGTGGGAGCAGGGTAGGGTGTAGGGGTGGTCATGTATGTATGGGGTAGGTTGGTGTATGGATGGGTAAGTGTGGGTGTAGATGTAAAGAAGAGGTGATGTGGATGTCGAGGTTGACATGAGCATGAGATTGTTTGTGTATGCATGTACTTATGTGTATATACATGAGTGTGGATATGAATATAGGTGTAGGTTTGTGTTAGATGTATGATATATGGAAGTGACAATAATGATATATTTTAATTTGATGAATCATTGTTAAAATAAAAAGTAGTTCAGATGATATTTTTGTTTTTTCTGTAAATAAATAAAATATAGAATTTAAAATCTTTACATTTAGCCAAAAAATGACCAATTCATTAGGACATAAAATTTAATTGAATTTTAAGCATACAAATTTCTTTGATATTGTCCACTCATCTCAAATTTTAATGATGCTTTTATATATAAATGTTTAATATGAAGATATCTTTCATAAGGATGTTTCGTTTTTATTAATTAATTAATTTATTTCTTTTATGTTCGAGCCTTTTTAGTATGTTTATCGGTGATTGACAATGATAGGTGCATTTTATGCACCTATTTTGCATGTTTATTTCCATCTTTTTATAGCATTCTACTTCATAATTCTTGCATTTAGTTGATTATTAGGGTAGTTGCATATTTCATTAAGAATGTCTGGTACTTCACTATTTTTGATTTATTTTGCAGGCATTATGGAGCATGGAACATGGAGCTTGGATGCATGGATGCATGGAGCTTGGATTCTTGGAGCTTTGGAGCATGCAGAGAAGATGAACCGGTCATTCCATGGAGGAAAGCATGAAGACATAACCCGAGTCGTTGTTGCATTATCTTCATAGCAAAGGATTATGTTTGAAATGCGGTTCTTATCACTTTGACACGGGTCGTGTTTGTCCTTTATCATCTCATATTTGAGCAACATGACGCGTGGTGAAGCTGGACAGAAGATGGAGCCAACAGTGAAGACTTTTTGGAATTTTAGCAAAAAAGCATGGGCCATGCCAAAAACACATGGTCAAGACAAATGGACATGCCAAAAAAACACATGGGCAAAAGGCATGGCCATGCTAAAAACGCATGGCCTTATGGCAAGTCACGTGAACTTTAATAAAAGAGGAAGAGACGTCATTTTGAAGGACAGAACGGTTTTGGGAGTAGTTTCTGGCGATCTAGGCCAATTTTGGGAGAATTCTTGGAGCTTTTGAGAAGACTTAATCATTGCAAACATTGGGATTTCACTTTTGTAAGGATTAAACATTCCAATTCCATCTTATTCTTGTTTGATTTGTTCTTAGCCATGTGTGGCTAAGAAACCCTAGTTTCTAGTTCTTGTTCAAAAAAATGTTGATTGCTTGACTTGAAGCATATGATTTGATGTTTGATTTGTGATTCTATTCTAGTGATTATGT